TTTTTTTTGGGTTTTTCTCCGGTACCGGGAACCGAACTCACGACCTTGCGCTTGCCAGGCAGGCGCTTTGCCGCTGAGCTAAATCCCCAGTCCCTAAGATGTATTTCTTTCTGAGTATGTGGTTGATTATAGACACAGGCAGCCCCATCCCAAAAGGAGTGCGGTGACCTGAATGTAGTTTGTCTCACATACCCTAATGAGAGTCAAAACGTTTATAATTTAAACCCGACTAGACTGAGTCCTCTGTTTTCTATGACAGAGCCTCAGAGGAAAGTTCAGAGCGTGCTCTCAGATTCCATGATAATGTAGATGATGATTCCCAGTACCTACTGTAGACAACAAGAATTCACTAATAGCTAAAATCTTTTCAAAATGAACCTACACTGTTTTCTTCAGGATGTAAAGTCACAAAACAACGGTATGATTTTCCAGTGACTTTTCTAGTTATATCAGCATGAGTATAATTTGTATCACAAAATACCCATGTGGGTTACACCTTTACACCAGTGCCTTTTTAGCATTTGGTACTTCTTTTGTTTAAAAAGTATATTGAATACAATCTTCCATTGTGCAAAATTTACAGAAATTGAGGGCAAATGTAATACAAACATGAGGACAGTTACAGGACAATTCTCGTGCCTTCCTCTATGAAAAGTTCAATCCAGTCTTCTAAGTAGAAACAAGACAGGATTCACAGGTTAAATTTGCCAAAATGCTGTTTATCTATTAAACATAAGGCCAAATAAGAGCTAAAATTAAATTTAACAACAATAACAACAAATAAGAAAATATGCAACTTTGATGACAGTATGCTAGTTCAGTGACCACATATTATGTAAACAGAGCAAAATCAAGAACTTCATTTTAATGTCACACACTCAACTAGATTCAGAATGCAGGTTTCATTACCCTGCCCAAGTAGATTACCAAACTATTCTTTCTAATGAGGAATAGTATTCGTCTATGCACTCCTTTTATTTTGTCACATCTCTCAACCTATTTGGTGATTGCCTGATAAGCAATTGAAGCATCAATTAGTTTAAAGTTCTAGGGGATCTGCACGTTCTATAGAACTGTGGTTCTCAGTCGCTTTTACTTCGAGATCTCTAAATACCTGATGGAAGTGAAGTGAGTAAATGTAAATCTTACATATAAATTCTGGGAATTCATACACCATGGATTGAGTTTGAGTGTGTCTGCTCTAGGGAACCCATTATGAGTCCTTGGATACTGTTGGCTGCCACGTGGTATTTCATACTGCAGTTCTACTTAGAGAATGTGACAATACTCAAACTCATGCATTTTATTTAATATGTCTATACTTGTCAGCTTTTCCATTGCTAGAACAGAAATACATGATGCCAGCAACTTATAGGAGGAGAGGTTTATTTTGGCTCTCAGTTTCACAGATTTAAGTCTATGATTGACAGGATCCAAGACAGAAACAAAATGGCAGAAAGGCTTGGCAGAGGACTCCATGGCATCTGGAAGCAAGGAGCTGAGGAACAGAGATAGAGAGGAAGGGGTCAGGTCCCAAAGAGTCCCAAGGTCTGGATTTTCCTTGACCCACCCAGACACATTCAAAG